ATCTGTAAAGAATTGAAAGCTCTGAAAAGGCACTATTTTAAAATAAAAGTAGTTGATTTTATTAATGACAAATGACTACACATGTTTCATTTTGTTAGATACATATTTACATCTACAATCTGGTAGCTAAAAATGTGAGTAAACTTTTAAAAAATAGTTTAGATGCAAAAGGAATGCTCTATTTGAGGGGGGAAGGGGGGAAATAGAAGTTTCCTGCTCAGACTGGAGAAAGCATAATGTGCCTACAAACATAAATAGGTGTCTCTTTTTTTATTTTTGGGCATACTTTTAATTGTATTCCATATTTATTTTTAAATATATCAATTACCTTTTGGGAAGGCTGCATCTTTGAAAAGAGCATGGTTCATGCATTTACAGATACTATAGGTTTGATTAATAGATTTCAGCTTGTGCAGAATGCTTCTGTCTACTTTCTCATACATGAAAACAAGTGTAACTCCATACTCCTCACAGATACTTCTAGATTATCTGTTTCAGTGCATAATGGGAAAAAATGTCCTCTGAGGCCCCATTCATCCATGAAGTAACTCCATCTACTAACTGCAATTAAATTACCCCATTGACTAATTTGGATCCTGATTTCAAAGCCTTCTACTGATTTACTCTGAACCTCACATGCTTTCTCTTTCTCTCCCCTTTATTCACTTATCTTAGCACTGGTCTCCTCTGCCCCTCCATAAAATCTAGCCACTTTGGTATTTGATGATACATGTGGTCTATATTGCACTATGCATTGGTAGCACAGGGGCAGCTGCACCCTTGCTGAACAATGGATAAGAAATTTGCTAATGTAGGTAAGAACCACAGTTGCAGCTCCTTGGGTTCAGAACAGCCTTGTGTCTTTTCACCTCAACTTCAGATATTTTCAAGTCTCTTCTGGAAGTGTAACATACTCTCAAAGCACTTTTACAGTTAAATGAAAGTTACAAAGAAATTATTTTTAATTTTAACAGGTATCAACAATGGAGAAAAATACTATATAAAGTTATTGTAGTAATGGGAAAAAATGCTTTGCTTTTAGGAGGTGTGACATTTGCTGGGTAAAACTTTGGACTTTGGTAGGTAAGAAACAAACCAATTTATATTTTAAATATTTGTTTAAAGTATGTAGGCCTTAATGAATGGACATGCCAAAAACAAGTTTCAATTCTACGTGCACTCGTCTTCTAAGGGCTTGTCTATGCTACAGGTTATGTGGGTATAACTTATGTTGCTCAGGGGTGTGAATAAGCCCTCCTACCCCAAGAGTGATGTAAGTTACACTGACTTAAGTGCCAGTGTGGACAGTGCTATGTTGGTGGGAGCAGCTCTCCCCTGTTGGCATAGAGTGTCTTCACCAGATGTGCTACAGTGGTGCAGCTGCAGCACTTCTAGTGTAGACTAGCTCTTAAACTGTCTGAAGGCCTGTTCAGCCCCTGTTGAAACTTAGCAATCTCATATCTATTGCAGCTGGAGGCTGAGAATAGTCATGCCCCATAGGGGCAATTCACTGCCTGATGATAACCACAGCACAAATAGGCTCTGGCTACACTCCATCTCTGTCCTGACATTTCCTACACTCGGGGCTATAAGGAAATAGTGGCAGAGCTGTTCTGGGGCAGGCAGGGTGTAATTCTCTAAAGCAGGGGTAGGCAACTTATGGCACATGTGCCGAAGGCAGCACACGAGCTGATTTTCAGTGGCACTCAGTGTCCAAGTCCTGGCCATCGGTCTGGGGGTCTGCATTTTAATTTAATTTTAAATGAAGCTTCTTAAACATTTTAAAAACCTTCTTTACTTTACATACAACAATAGTTTAGTTATATATTAGACTTATAGAAAGACCTTCTGAAAAGGTTAAAATGTATTACTGGCACGGGAAACATTAAATTAGAGTGAATAAATGAAGACTCAGCACATCACTTCGGAAAGGTTGCTGACCCCTGCTCTAAAGGCTGTTTCTGCCAGGTTTGCTGTCACTTTAGGTCACTGGAGCAGTGTGAAGGGGGCTGGGATACAGGAGAGAATCAGGCCCATTATTGCTACTTAGTCTATAGTCTCCTATTTCAAAGCTTGTTCAAGAACCTTTTGTTTACCTTTTAATAACTCATGAAAGTCATTTGTTCTCCTGCAGTTATGTTGGGAGAAAAGAGAAAACTAGAAACTGGGTATGGGAGAGAGCTGTGGCTTCTCTTCATAAGGCTGACATTCTCCATTCATGAGCCCCCCCCCCCCATTCGCCACTGCCAGTGTTTCTTTTTTGCATTTCCCTTTTGAAGTGTTGTAGCAGTTAGCACTAAGAATTCAGTGTTTCTAGGATCTAAAGGTTTTGCTGAGTCCACATGATTGAGCATTCTACAAAGATGGTTCTTAAGGATGAAAAAGATAGATCCAGGAACAGGGAAAGTTGCCTTTCACACAGCTCAGCAATGTAGACTAGGGGCTCAATTCTGTACTGCCATTCACCTTGTGTAGTCAAATCAAATTCTTGAAGTATGATCTGTATTTGTTTACAAAATTTTTAAAATTAGTTAAATTGTATTTTAAATTTGTATGTTTTAGCCCTCAGTCTCACTTGTCACTATACTTAATATACTGTTTGTTACACTGAACACAGTAAAGACTTCCAAATATGCATGAAGGATTTATGTCATAAGCCCAGTTGAAAACAGGACTTGTGTTCCTAAATCGTGATGCCTGAAAATCTCCCCTATCATGCCTAACCAATCCCCTTTAGCAGTTTAATGCAAGTCCTGAACGCTTTGTTTAAAAAAATAAAATAAACCCTTTGTAAAGATTGCATTTCTTAATATTCTTATTTCAAAGCAACTCTGTTTATTCAGATTCATGCCCGTCACCCAAATCGGGGTATGGGCCACCAACCACAGATCTCCAGAGTCCTCTATCCTGGGCCATTTGCTCTAACTGGTTCCAGGTATATAGATAGTCTAAATTTAAAAACCCTCAGTAATGCGAATCATGTTGTTCATTTGAGGATGCAAACTCATTCCATCCAAATGTATCTATTCTGTTCAGTAATCTACTGTATATAGATATTCTTTAAAATGCTTTTTCTTGTAACTAGCAAAGGGTAGCATTTGAGAAAATGCTACTCTAATAAACAGATTAGTCAGATTCTAATTAGTTGTAAGTTTTATTACAAGTATCAAATGTAAATTTTTCATAAGTGTACATAGGTTAAATACAGTATTTACAGAAAATATGTATTATGTTTACTGGCTTTAGTAAGTGTTTTTCATAGTAACTGATTCAGTAGTTCTTCGATGCAGCTGGCAGAACATTAAACCTATGAAGAAATACCTTTAGATTACTGGAACATCTTAAACAACTTTGTTCTAACAAAGGCTTTGAAATAAAGGAAGGAAAATGGTTCACGCTTTCATTCAAACAGGTACTTTGAGGTGGTCTTTGGTTTACCATAAAATAAGTCATGTTAATAGCCAGGGCCGGCTCCAGAGTTTTGGCCGCCCCAAGCAGCCAAAACCAAAAAAAAAAAAGACCGCGGCCGCGATCACGATCTGCAGCGGCAATTCGGCGGGAGGGCCTTCACTCAGAGCCGGAGGGAGGGACCGGCCACCTCACTACGCGCACACAAC